AATCAAGGGTCTGCTCTGAAAAGTAACCGAAATCTTGATCAGTCGTTTCCTAAAACTTAAGACTTTCCAACAAGATTCCCCCCCACCCCACCCCAGATTCATACAGTAAAAGAAATCTTAAAGAGGCTATAATGAAAGGTTAAAGTGGGGGGGAGAGAATGGTTGCAAGTTTAGTTTTGGGGCTAGCCAGCATGAGTTCATTCTTTATAACGAACAATCAATTGGGTTTATTATTGATTTTGCTTAAAGAAGATTAGTATAAATCAAATGATAGTGCCAAGCTTTCCCTGACCCATGAAACCAGGCTCTGTTTTTATTTGTTTGAATTCCCTGAAACTCTGTTCATGTGCCTTTACTGGTTCTTTTATGTTCTTTTACTGGTTTTATGTTATATTTTTGTTTTAATGATATTGTTTATTGCTCTTATGTTATACACTGATTAGAGATTTTAAAAAATATTCAGTGGTTCATAAATGCTTTCAAACAAATACTGTAAAATTGCACCCCCCCCCCAATGGAGTAGGCTTCCTTGAATTTCCACCCCTTTGTAGTGGGAAACATGTTGAGCTATTTTCCTATCTAGGATAGTGTCCTCTATAGGCTGCATCTTTCTCATCTCACAGTTCAATTACAGTGCAGTCCACAAAACACTTATTTTTTTGCATGTGCTCCTCTGTCTTACACATACTTACTCAAAAGCAAATCGTATTGCTTTCAGAGGTGTAAGGATTGACGTAACCAAGTGGTATAAGTTTATAGAAGGTAATGGAACTAAACCAGGGTTCAAGGATCCTGTTTTAATTGATTTCAGGATTGTGGTCTGGTGTGTAGTAATAATACCACTAGCAAACAATTGTCCTTGGAACCAGGGCGGGTGATATCATTAGGCCAACTAGGCAGCTGCGTAGAGTACAGACCTCAGAGGAGAGCAGTATTAACCTTGCGGGCACAGTTTTATACAGATTATTTTTTGTTATATAACAAAAAAAGGCTAACTTCCATATTAAGAAACACATGGCTTATAAAAATGATAAAATCATTCAAAATAATGTTATCATTTCTACACGACATCAGTTTTTGAAAATTGAAGTTAGCAGCATTTTTTTGGTGGTGTAAGCCTTGCCTAGGGTGCAAAATAGCTTGGATTCCGGCACTGCTTGGAACATTTCCATGTCCGTTTGATTTTTCAAATATATTTGTTGTCATACCTGAAAAAGGGTTTAACAAAAGCAATGCATATATGTAGTGTTTATATGATATTCTCCAAACCACATCCTAAATAATATGCTTCCAAAATAAGAGTAATAGCCCATAGTTTGAACGTGTATGTGGATATTCAGTAGTGAGAAATTTTAGTTTTACACCTGTAAAACCATATCTGCTCTATGAAACGAAAGGAAAAGGTTATGAGGAAAATAGGAAGAAAGTGTAGACAACAGCCTATCTCTTCTTCACAAAACATTAAAGAAATGCATGGAGCCTTAATGCCACTTTTATCAGCATTAGCTTCTGTAGTTTTCTACAGCACTAGGGAATATATCTGCCTGTATTAACAGGAATTATCATCCTGATCCAAAATAATTTCTGGGTACAAATAAAAGGATTTAAGTAAGCTTAAATTGCATTGAAGCCAACAGAATTAAAGTGATTTCAAGTATTTCATCTGAGGATGGGATAGGATTGTATATAGGATTTATAATCCTTTTGACCACAGCCAAATGTCCTGTATCTTTGTGGGTTGGTTCATACATAATGTTTCTAGTCCAACAGATTATAGTTTGTTAGAGTGGGCGGAAAGCAATGAGTCTGAACGCTCTTTTTAACTTCCACTTTCATACACCTGGCTGCAGAAGTGACTTCATGATTTGTTAAATCACAGTTCGCTCAGGGTGTCTTGACCAGGAATTGTGTTTAAGTGCTGCCTGTAATCCAAGATTGCAGAACAGTTTTAGTTGCAGGCAGTGCTTAAACTAGAGTTTGTCAGTTTGGATGCCTTGGGGAAATGATTGTTTCGCAAACCAGAAAGTCTCCACAGCTGGACATGAAAAGGAAGGAGGAAAGGAGGGAACACTTGAGCTCATCACTCATTCCTTCTTCAACTGACCATAGTTTGTTGGGTCAGCAATATTACACCTGAACCTGGCTTTTAGCTGGAACCCCTAACAAACTCACTTGAAGGTATGCAGTACTCCAAGTAGACCTAATAGAGTACCAAGTGATTTTCCTGAATCTAAATAACCATGTCATAGAATCTTAGAATTGGAAGGTAACTAGTTGTTTGTGCCCAAGAATCATAGAATTGTAGAGTTGGAAGGGAACACAAGGGTGATCTAGTGTATCCCTTGGAATGCAAGAATGCTTTGCCCAACGTGGGGCTCAAACCCAGAACCCTGAGATTAAGAGTCTTGTGCTGTACTAGCTGAGCTGTCCCAGCTTTGGGTTCACGTTTCTCAAACACTACCATCCAGTGTTTCATGGCAAACTGCTGTTGAAACCTACGACCTTAAAAAAGTAATATGTATAGAGATCTGCTGTTCAAAGAAAAAGTCAAAAATCCCATTTTATATGCTGCAGTGCACTTCAATCAGTTTTTTGGCAAAAGTACTTAACAGCTGGAGGATAACTGTTTTACTTTGCTGCTTAATGCTGTATTCCTTACAGCCTTGCATTTTTAAAGGAATCTTCAAATTAACTATAATTTAATATGTATATTCTGATTTACTGTTGATCTAAAAAAAAACATGTACCGGATATACTCGAGTATGAGCCAACCTGAATATAAGCCTAGGCACTAATTTTACCACCAAAAACTGGGAAAACTTATTAACTCGAGTATAAGCCTAGGGTGGGAAATGCTGACAGTGACAAGGCGGCGGCGGAGGAAGGAGCAGCCTGAAAGGGCTGCTTTCGGGCTGCTCGTTCCTCCTCCTCCGCCAACAACAGCCTCTGCTACTCGCAAGGGCAGGCACAGGAGCTGCGCTTGGCAGATTGGCGGTGGCATGAGTGGCGGCAGCAAACAGTAAGTGGGACCCTCACTCGAGTATCAGCCGAAGGGGCTTTTTCAGCATAAAAAAAGTGCTGAAAAGGTCAGCTTATACTCGAGTATATACGGTGATTAATTATGAGCCTTTGAGCAGTGATAAATTAACTTGAGCAGTGATAAATTGCACCTAGGTGCCATAATATACGTGTGTAAGTTATCAACTGCAGAAATAAGAGGCTGCATTTTAGTTATGTGACTCATAATCACATTGAATAGGTAGAAACTTTTTGTACTTCTCTGAAAGATTCTTACACAGTATACTGTACTGAAGTTTATCTAACATAGGAGGCAAGAAGGCCGTGACAGTCCTGCTGGGTTTATAACCTGTGGTTTTAGGCTGCTTACTTATTCCAGATTTGTGGTTTAGACCACCAAATCCCTAACCAACTGGTGAATATTTTTGTTTTATTTTTAGCTGCTGGATGTGTATGATGCAGAATTATCAGGGGGGAAGTAATTGCTGTGCAAATAATGTAGAACAAGTACTACTTTTTGAAAATATTTCTGGAAAAGAGTTGTCTGAAACCTTTAATTGTGTTACAATGTATAAAATGTGCCAAGAACTGTAATTGATTCAAAGGGATTCATTTTTATTTTAGTTGCAAAACATATTTCTTAGCATGAACTGTTCTCTTGAAAGTCCAGAACCTTCATGTAAAGAATATGGAAACCATTAACATGAAACAGAATAAAATGAAAACTTCTGAAGTCCTTTTTATTCATATAAGGAGAAAAAATAGTAAAATTTTAATGTATCATAAGGATGCTATGCATTAGTTACTGTATGTACATAACATTTTCTGGTGTCAGTAAAGATTAGAAATTCTTATAATACTGAACTGAAATTGAAGGGGCTGACAATGGCACTATAAATGGGGCATGCACATGGGGAATGAGATCTGCTTGTACTACAAGACTTGTTCCTCACTCTCCTCCCCATGCGTGCCCCCGAAACCTGTTATAGGGGTTCCCCGAGTCCTCCAGGGCAGGTTTAGGGAGTGCAGGAAGAAACTCCCATTGCACGAGCAGGTCTCATTCCATGCACACAGCTTAGTAGACTTCCACCCTGAAATAAGAACGAGCAAAGGTGTAGTTTCATGAATAGCTTGCCATTCATAAAGTTGGCATAAACATAACATGCATTTACATTTTACTGTGGAAACGAGTAAACATTTCTTCAGAAATAATCATGTAAAAATTATTTGACTAAAAGCCTTAAGTGAAATCATGGCTAGCTAAAACTTGGAGATTTGTATTTCTGTACCCTACCACAGTCACTACACATCCTATTTTCATGATAATTTCAATTAGTCATCATCTGTTTACTTTGTGCACTACTTTTACTACAGAAGACTGTGCCCAAAGTACCATATTTTCCCATGTATAAGACTAGGTTTCCCCCCTAAAAAATTATGTCCAAAATTTGGGGGCGTCTTATACACAGATAGATCTCCCTCCCCCCATTTTCTTAAATCGGAGTCCCCCCAAAATAGGGGGCATCTTATACATGGAGGCGTCTTATAGATGGAAAAATATGGGATCTTACTTAGAATACATAAGAAGCAAACAAATAATGAAAACAGAAGCAGATAGTAAAATACAGTGGTACCTCGGGTTAAGTACTTAATTTGTTCTGCAGGTCTGTTCTTAACCTGAAACTGTTCTTAACCTGAAGCACCACTTTAGCTAATGGGGCCTCCTGCTGCCGCTGTGCCGCCGGAGCACGATTTCTGTTCTCATCCTGAAGCAAAGTTCTTAACCTGAAGCACTATTTCTGGGTTAGCGGAGTCTGTAACCTGAAGCATCTGTAACCTGAAGTGTCTGTAACCCGAGGTACCACTGTATAGGTGAACTGTCATCCCAAAATTATAATCCACATGATTAATCCATGAGATCTGATGACAGCAGCCTAGCTGTGACAAGCTAATTCCTTTTTGTTTTTGTCTTTGCTCCATAGGATGTGACATGTGTGCAGATAATCGTAATGGAGAGTGCCCCATGCATGGCCCTTTGCACTCTTTACGCCGTCTGGTGGGCACTAGTAGTGCTGCTGCCGCCGCCCCTCCACCTGAGATTCCTGAGTGGCTTCGGGATCTGCCCCGGGAAGTGTGTCTGTGCACCAGCACTGTGCCTGGTTTGGCCTATGGCATCTGTGCTGCTCAAAGGATTCAGCAGGGCACCTGGATCGGGCCTTTCCAGGGAGTTCTCCTTCTGCCAGAAAAGGTGCAAGCAGGAGCCACAAGGAACACCCAACACCTCTGGGAAGTAAGTCACAGTTCAAAGCATTTTGGTTTTTAATGTCTGATAATGCATTCAATATTTGTTTCATGAGATTTTCAAAAGAGCTTTTTTTCACTATCAAAAGCTCCTGCTATAGATTTGAAAATATATACTGTATATATAGCAATGCAGGCATATAAATGTTCCTCACATCTTTTCTGTTTGGATATGTCATTAGTAGCAAGAAGCTGCAACTTCCAGTATATATATTTTTAATAAAACAGATTCTTACAGATGTTGAGAAAGATGTACAATAATGTTGTTTTTAGTTCTGCAGAACAACTGGAAGTAAGTTTAGCTGAAATTAGTAGGACTCCAAAGCAAATACGGTTATAGGGATAACAATTCCTTAAATCTTAAAAGTCATAATTTTTGTAGAGTTTTGCAAATTATTTTGTTATTGGGCTGCTTTTTACTTCTGACATAGTGTGAACCATCTGCAGCTAATTCAAAAAGTGAAAAAAAGAGAGCAATTTTTCTATTAGCTTCTGTATTAGCTGCCAAACCAGGTATTAATCCTCTGTTGTTCGATGAAAGAAAAGTCAGCTTAGTTTATAAGCCTGTTTTAAATAGCAAAGGGTTTTACAGGGCCTTTTAAAAATGTAACATTTCTAGCTTTGTAAACTATAAAGCTGCGAATCAGGCCAACGCTTTCTTCCCCACCTCTCTAATATGCTGATTATGGTGCTGGATTCCTGGGCTTTTAAAACCACAGTTTCCTGCTTCATTCCAAACAGATAACTGTGTATTAATGTTGGTTTATTAAGCAGCACAAGATCTTAAACCATGTTTTTATCCAGATTAGTAAACCAACATAAAACTACAGATCCCCCATTACTTTTGAAATGGAGAACCGTGGTTTAAAGAGCCTCTTGGAAAGCACACACCTAGCACCCTAATCAGTTGACTAGTGCAGAAAGCACATCTTCAAATAAAGTTGCTGTAACCATTGATCAGCTGATTGGCTGTTACAGCCACTGCCTATGAACGTTCATTGGTGTCAAACACTTGATGTTATTATCCCATCTGTTGATTGACAGGTCAGTGATCTGCCCACCTGTTAAGTTGACCCACAAGGAGTGGGAAAGGATCTGGTGATCCATCTAAACCGAGTTCCCCACTTCTGCTGTAGCTGATCTGAAAGCTACTCAGTTATCTGAGGTGCTCACTAAGTGACAGAAAGCATAGGGCCATGGTTCCCCACGTGGGGCACCCCCCCACAGGGGGGCAATTTGATTTTTAAGGGGGCAATACGGGAATGAGTTATTAACAGTTAAGCCTTTTAGGCTTCCTCCATGTGAATAGGAGTTCACTTTTTGAATAGTAAGAATTATATGTCACAGGGGGAGGGGTGAATCAGGATTTTAGAGATGCTTAGGTGGAGTGTGGCCAAAAAAAGGTTGGGAACCACTGGTGTAGAGGAAAAGACCTATGCACTCCTGATTATAGTTGTCTTCACACATGTCACATCGTATGAAGTGCTAAGTACAGAAGCAAATAGGGAAGCAAATAGGAAGCCATTGTAGCGATTAAATGAGGAGAGCCTCGTGATCTGAATTAAAAGAGTTGAATTTGTAAAGCAGAGAAGGCTGAGGTGTGACAACAAAATTAGAGAGACAATTGCAGTACTAAAGGCTAGGCAGTTTACCAAGGGGGGCGGTATAAGAGGAACAGCTGTATTTTCACAATGTGGTATAGAAAGAATCACATGACTTCAAAATGGACTGTATGTAGCAAAGAAGAGGAGACAACCAAAGATAAATTCAAAGCTTTGTGCCTGATTTACAAGATGGATTTTGAAGACGGCCAATGAATGTAGAGAGCAAGGGAAAAGAGGAAGAATTGGGAAGAAAAATGAAGAGATTGTTCTTAAATGTACTAAGTTTAAGATGCCAATGTAAGAAATATTAGGCAGGCAGTTGATGTATTGGATGGAAAGAGAATGTTCTCAGTCAGAGAAATGGAACTAGATACCATCAGCATAAAGCACAAGATTTTTGTGTGTAGAGAGAATAGCAAAGAGCCAAGAATAGGTCCCTGAAGCCCCACAACAGAGAAGAGAAAAGCAGAGGAAAAAGGTGCCCTGGGTTGAAATCCTGAATGAGTGATGTTGGAAAAGCAGTTGATGAGAACAGAATCGTGGACACCAAGGTATAAAGGGAGTTAACCAGGATAGAAGCAGCGGAAGGTAGTCAAGCAGGATGAATATAGTTTCAGTGCAGTGCAGATGATGGAAGCCAGCTTGTAGTGGGTCTAAAGAGGTTTTTGAGAAAATACAGGGGAAGCAGTCAGAGTTTGTGGCAGTGGTTTGGAGGCAAATGGTAGGAGTGAAATACTAGAGTATATGAAGGGACAGAATAGATCAAAGGCTATATTTTAAAAATGAGGGTTATTGTTGCAATACAGTACATGTAGAAGAGACCAGAGGGGAGAAAATGGCAGCCCCGCTGTATTTATGCTATACAAACCGCTCTGTAGTAAAATCCGTTAAGATTCTCAGAATGAGGATGTTCAACATAATTGGCGCACTAAATGTGCATCCAGCTTCCTAATCATAGTGCTGTTCATGCACTCTGAAAATGCTGATTCTGAATGGTCCCATAGTAGTTTCCAACATGAATAAAAAACATTGAAGGACCATTGCAAAGACAATTAAACACCAGTCCAGATGTGGTGCTCTTTTATTTGCTTTGCTTTGGCAAACATCTGGATTATTGCATTTGATGTATAGTTGGACACTTTGGACATATTTTTTGGCATGCCTGTGTTAGAGCTCCTGCCACACATTCAGTGTTTGCTTTGTATGTAATCCATACAGTTCAATGTACAGCAGTTTGAAGTAAATTAAACACCATTCCATTACCTCACGACATGGCCTGACACCTATGGGTGTTCATTGGGAAATTATACAGTTCTTTATCAATCAGCCAAGTCCTTTTTATAGCTTACAGAAAAGATCATCTCTTTTGAAAGCCAAAAATATGAATCATTTTACTTGTGACTCCTTTAATTTTTCCTTTTGGCCATTTTTTAAACCAATACAGAATTTGCTTGTGTGTTATTAAAATACAATAAACACTGATTTATTTAAAGCAAAAAAATATTGCTGGGTTTAGCAAGCAAACACTGTTCTTTCTAAGATATAAATTGATTCCATCCGAATTCAATAATATTTCTAGAGTTTGTTCATTCCGAGTTAATGAAAACAATTCTTTCCTAACCTTGTTGCAAAGAAAGCAACCCTTTAAAAAAAGAAATTGGGGATTATTGATGAGAATGAGATAATTTTCTCTTAATGTGTTTTCTAATAAAGAAGTGAAACTGCACTCACTTCCAACATATATGAAAAGATTATCTCAGTTATTAATGTGTCTTTATTCCCAGGAGAAAAATTAATCTAGTTGCGTAAGGTTTCCACTTTCTGTTTAACATCAAATTGTAATAAGACTAGACTTAAGGAATGCATAGAGGCCACACTTTAAATTCCATTGGAATATAATGCAGACATTTTAAAGGCTTGAATGTTCTTGTTATTGAAGTTTTTCAGACTTTAAGGTTTTAGTAAAATAAAGGTCTGGAAAGCTGTGGACGGCAATTCCCCCCCCCCCCCGCAACATTGAGGTAGGGAATTGTAACTGTTTAGAGCACAGAGATGAAAATGATTGCTGAAGTTCCATTGACAGATCTATGGAAGCGTAAGATTATATTGACTCTTAATTTTTATGGTCATAAATTGTTCACCTAAGACTTTGTGCACCAGAAATGAGTTAACGCTTTCCCTCTCTGTGAGATATTTAAGAATCTCTTGTAATGTGTGGCACTTTATTAGATTGCAAGTTTGCAGTCAAGATCTACGTTATATTTAGTCTTTGTACAGCTCCCAGGAAACTTGTTATAGTAGTAGTAGTTTTAGTACAGTGGTACCCCGCAAGACGAACGCCTCGCGAGACGAAAAACTCGCAAAACGAAAGGTTTTTTCGTTTTCGAGTTGCCTCGCAAGACGAATTTCCCTATGGGCTTGCTTCGCAAAACGAAGCTTGCCCAGGGGACAGCGGGTCTTCTCTTTTGAAGCAAGGGGCGGCGGGGAGATCGCTTCTCCTGGTGCTCCGAAGCCGGGCGGGGGGGCGGGAACACCTGCCCCAGCCGCCCCGCTTCGGAACGCTGCCCCGAAGCGGGGCGGGGGGGGGCGGGAACACCTGCCCCAGCCACCCCGCTTCGGAACGCTGCCCCGAAGCGGGGCGGGGGGGCGGGAACACCTGCCCCAGCCGCCCCGCTTCGGAACGCTGCTCCGAAGCGGGGCGGGGGGGCGGGAACACCTGCCCCAGCCGCCCCGCTTCGGAACGCTGCCCCGAAGCGGGGCGGGGGGGCGGGAACACCTGCCCCAGCCGCCCCGCTTCGGAACGCTGCCCCGAAGCGGGGCGGGGGGCGGGAACACCTGCCCCAGCCGCCCCGCTTCGGAACGCTGCTCCGAAGCGGGGCGGGGGGGCGGGAACCTCTCACCCCGCCGCCGGGCATCGGAACGAGGTCCTGGACCTCTTCTGAAGGCAGGCGGGGGCAAAAGTCTTTGCTCCCCCCGCCTGCCTTCCCGGGACAGCGGAGACTTCTCCGCTGCCCCCGGGCGACCTTAAAATGCTGGCGGGCCGGTGAGCGAAGCATTCGCTGCCGACCCCCAAGCATTTTAAAATCTCCTCGGGGACGGCGACTTCGTCCCGCCCCAGCATTTAAATCGCGGAAGCAGGGGCTAATGCTGGCTCCCAAGCCCCGTCCCAGCTGCGGCGGGGTGGCAAAAGGCTTTTCTTCCACGCCACTCAACAGTCGAGCTGCGGAGAAACCTGTCCCCCCAGCTTAGAAGAGGCGGGGACGACGTCCGCTTGAGGCGTTTCCTAGGAATGCATTAATTGATTTTCAATGCATTCCTATGGGAAACCGTGCATCGCAAGACGAAAAAACCGCAAGACGAAGAGACTTGCGGAACGAATTAATTT